TAGCTAGATGGGGCCTCTTTTCTGCTATGACTCAAACTTTCCTGTTGTGCATAAAATATGCTTAGAAGTTGCACAGGACAATTAAGCCAACACCAGCTACCAAGTCGTCAGGCCCGACAAAGCCACAGCACTACTGTAAGTTGAAACGGGCTTGTCACGAGTAGTGCAAGTTGGATTTGGAGCAGAGTCTGGGGTGCACGGACCCTGCCTTATGGAGCTGCCCTTGTGCCCGGCTCGGGTCAGCGCTAGGAACTGGGCTCTGGCATCAGCCCAGAGCTTGCTGCAGTATGAGCTGGGTGGTTACAGAATCACCTGTAAAGTGCAGCCAATGAAATAAGATAACATACAATGCTGTCTACATTAGATTTAAGTAATAGTAACATACAACTACGATAATTAACAGTGTCTACCCCCAACAAGCTCAGTGAATGTTTACTGTTGTTACCAGTCATCGGCCTTCCTCAGGCAGGATGGGCGCCTGGGGATGGGCTTTCTGGGCCAAGGAGGAGAAACCCAGCCTGGGTCTTCAGGAAGGGGAGCTGGAAACCAGGAGGGAACCGCCAGAGGAGGGACTGGCATTTGAATGAAGGCCACGCCCACAAGCTTGACAAGCAACTTCATGGCAAGCATTTTCAGGGATTTAGAAAGGGCTGGACAGGGGCAGCTTTGCTTCCTGCCCGCCAAATCACCCAGCAGGCCCAGTGCATCTCGCCAGCGAGCAGGAAGCCAGTGAGCCCTTCCTGCTGTCGCCCCATGGACCATGGTGGGTGGCGAGGGAGAACATGGACTCTCATTGTCCCGAGTCAGAGCTTCATCCTGCAAAATGGCCTGCACAGCCAGCAGGTGATGGAGGAGCTCATTGGGAGAAACCCAGCATTTAATTAACTTTTCAAAATGCTGGTTCAGCAACCTCCACGTTGTACATTTTGCATATTGAACAGGCACCTCTAATCAGACCTGAATCGCTTCTGGGCCTGCGAGGGTGCGAGCACCTGTTTGGTATTTATGAACATCCTGGAGTCCTGTCTGAATTTCAGGACAGCCAACTCAGATGCCCTAGAAATGGAGGCTCTGTGTGTGTAGCTTCTCCTGCAGGTCCTGTTTTGTTTGCACAAAGTAGACAACTCAGAGAGGAACTTGGGGTGGCTTCTGTCTGCTGCTTGGCAGTAGGAGAGTGCAGCCTACTTCTTGAGAGGCGGTGGAGGTGGGCAGTGGTTCTCATTTGTGTGACTGGGCCCCAGTTCTAGAAGTTACTACCGCTGGAGGCCCCAGGTACGACCCACACATGGACACTGAGCAGACTCCCCAGGGGTGAGTCTGTTGTGCCCACTGGTAAGAACTGGTCTAAAAGATTCTCTGTCTGTCCCACCCATTGCCTTCCGTAAATCTGGATGATCCAGAAGGTAAATCCAGCACAGTAAATCTAATCAGATGTCATGGTGCCCTGGGGACAGAATGTCTGCTGTTGAGAGGGCTGGGGATGGTGTGTTTGGAATCTAGGGTGGAGGCCAGTGAGGACTCCTCTCAGGGTCTCTCAGTGGCTCTGTGAGTTGGCGAAGCACACACACCGTGCCCAGCATCCCGTCTGTGAAATGGGCCACGAAACCCTCGGGGCTCACCCGCGCTGATAGAAGGTGTGAGTGATGAGTGCCAAAGTGCGCCTTCATGTGAAGTGGTCTTGCCAGCGTTGTTATAATCCTCATCTTCCCAGACCCTCAGCAGCACTTCTGGGGAGAGGTGCGTGAAGAAGCGAGAAGCCTGCACACAGCTGAGCACAGCTCTGCAGATGCCCGCGGGGCGCTGGGCCAGGTCACACAGACTCCTTGGCAACCTCGGTTTCCCCGGAAATGTGTCTGTAAAGGAAGAAGATGACCTAGACCCCCCCCCATTTCTCTACATCAGCTTGCACCCCATACAGGCGGAGCTTTAGCCCCAGTCCTCTAGCTAATCTGCCCTAGGGGGCTGTGGTAGGCCGCTGCTTTTTCTTTTTAAAATCTTGTCACCCACAGTTAAAATATACCTTCTGCGTGTGGGGCTGTAGCTGTATATAAAACCGAAAGGCAAGTTTGTGCAACACTTGTCCTTACTATTTTCTATTTTATGCCATTATTCCCCCCACCCCACCCCCCAAAACAAGGACAAGAAAGGCAAGTGGTGATTCTCTGAATTGACTTCATGACACTCACGGGCACAACCTGCACATGGGATCTTGGTGCTGATTCTGAGTCTCAGGCAGGTAAAGGCAGTTTGATGTAGGGTTTTACTTAGAATAACTTATTTTTTTAAAGATTTATTTATGCATACAAGAGCTGGGGTATAGGCCAGAGATGTGGGGGTGAGAGGACTCACCAGAAACAGAGTGGGCAACAGGACAGGCAGATTGACCAAAGTACACTGCTGAGGGGAGCAGCAGACGAGTCAGGAGAGGTCTGCTGCGCCATGTGGGTAGCTCCCTGGCCTGTGGGGATGGAACTCTTGCTGCAGAGGCTGTGGACAGCTTTATAGGTTGCATCTTAACCCCTTGCACCACCAAGGAGGCCCCAGAATAGCTTCCTAAAACATTGCTGAGATACTTGTGCAGATTATTTGCATTTTCTATAGAGAAGTAGACTCCCTGTTAATTCCCCTAAAATAGGCTTCACACGTAGTCTCCTTTTTGCCCTCTGATCTTCATAGCCAAATAGCTGTGGGACACAGTTCACTTGCCTCTTCATTTCTACTTATAAGAAAATCAGCAGTGCAGGTTCAGTGATGAGCTGGTACTGGACCCCCCCAATGTGGGGAGGACAGGAATCCAGGCTTGGGGATCGTGTGTGTGTGTGTGGGGGGTGGCTGGGGTGGGGGGAGGTATCCATGACACAGCTCCCCTAGCTTCCCATGAAGAAGTGCAATCAGGGTTTTGGTACAAAATCTCCCAATTTGGGCAACAAATTCACAGCAAAACCAAACCAAAATAAACAGCTATGTGGTCCAGACCAAAGTCATCTGTAAGTGAGATGATACCGGGAGGAGGCCAACTTCCTCAAAGGCTGGGTGTTCCGTCCCGGGCCTTGCGTGGGTCCCCACGAGGCTTTCCATGTGTAGTGGGAAGGTTACCCAGAACCTGTGCCTGGCAGAGAGAGGAGAGAGCAAGAGCACCACCCGAGGGTGCCCTGCTTCTCTCCTTCGGGGCTCCATTTTGATCTTGCTCCTTCCCCTGGGGTGCCATGAGATTCGGGAGAATCCTCGGGCTCCCCCTAGAGAGCGAGCAGCGTGTGGGCTCACCGGGACCCACACTGAATGAACCTCATCCCCGTTATGGGTATTGGGTGGGTAAGTGGCAATTAATGAGCCTTCCTCCAAAGATGAGCGTCGTCATTACTGTTTCCTTCAGACAAGAGCACTGCAACTTTTGCCGGGACACATTGCCTAAGAAAGGAATGATTCAGTCATAACTCTTCAGGGTAATCAGAGACAAATATGTCTCTTATGTGCAAAACGAAAGCGCTGCCTGTTCTATGTAGCTCTTTACTCTCCTTCTCTGATTCCTGTTTCCGTGCAAGCCCTGCTGCCACAGGTGATGTGCTGCTGGGTCATTTGGATGGTAGGCTGATCGGGTTCTGCATCACCAGGACAGTTAGAGGCAGTGTTTCTGGGGAGCACTGGGCCTGGGGTGGAGCCTCCATGCCCCACACGCAGATGGTGGCTTGCCTGGCTGCCGGGTGCTCAATGTGTCGGATTCCTTTGACTTAGAACAGTGTGGAAACCAGCATCACCCGGCAACACCGCAGTGGTGATGCCCGGACCCTCCCTGTTCTACCCCTTGTTGCTCAGTCTCTCTGCCTGGTCCTTTGAGAGTCAAAAAATGCAGCCTGGGAGGTCCCCAAAGAGTTGCTCTTCCCTGTTCTTCCAACTTTACCTGCCATTGTCTTTCCCTCTCTGACCTCTGCCAAAAATCAGTCCATCAATCTTTCTTCCTGCCTCTCTCTGCCCCACTTCCTTCCTTTCCTGCTTTCTTTCAACAATGGAATTAACACGATCTAAATTTCATGGAAAGTTGTCTGTAAACTTAGGCTTCATTTCCAATCACATCCAGAAGGGGATTCGGTGCATTTGCAGGAATTGTTTTGTGGATGCTGTTGGCCCCCTGGTCATTGTGATGGTGCCACCACCCGCTGCCCTGTGCATCCTGGCAATGATTTCTAACTTAAAAGTATTCTCTCTCTCTCTCTCTCTCTCTCTCTCTCTCTCTCTCTCTCTCACACACACACACACACACACACACACACACACACAGATATTATGAAATTTTTGCGACATACAGAAAAGTAAACACTGTGTACCTGACGCCTAACTTTAATGTTCGTCAGCATTTTGCCAGTCTTGTTTAGAAGTCATTATATATAGCGAGGGCGTCTCTCACAGTGCCCATAGTGACTTAGATTAGAATTACCTGGAAATTTGTTTGCGGGTAGCAATTTTAGGTTCTCCCTCCTCTAGGCCAGCTGATCCAGAAATAATTCACTGCCAGACCTGGCAGTCGGCACATCTGACAAGCTTCCAGAAGGTTCTCCTACACAATTAAGTTGGGGAACCCCTGCCTTCACTGCATGTGTCCACACAGGCTTCCTGCCCTGTCATGGAGATGCCTTCAGGGCCCTATTCACCTGACAGGGGTGTCTAGTCTCTTCATTGTTAGAAGGAGACACTATTTCACCTAGATCCATTTGAGTTTTGAACTTCTCACTCCATTTTGCACTGAAATTCAACAGTTTAATTTGGAGTTATGCTGAAATAAAACTCTTAGGACGGCATTACTGTGTCTCTTTTTCTCATGCGGGTTATGGACCTTGGTCTCTATACAGAGGAATCCAGACAAATAAAACACTTAAGACAATTTAATCAAGAACCTGGAATATACCAATAAGCACACCTGCTTTTGAAGCCCCTCTCACTCCAACGTACCATGCCAATGCAAGAGACTAGTGGGTTCTCATCAGCTTTGTCTTCCTTTTTTTCAGGTCAGGAAGAAGAGCTTCTGAAGAAATGGAGGTGTATGTTTCCAGTATTTTCATGGCCTTCTAGGGTGACCTTTGTCCGCAGTGCAGTCTTAGTGGTCATTATCCACTCAACCTGTGTTACACAGCGGTCAAAACCAGATGAATCTGCTGTGGTCTGGGGCTGGAGTCCATGCATGGGAATCAAGGGCCTGGCTATTGCTGCTTTCTCGGTGGAAGGTCTGGACCCTGGCAAGGATGCCCACGTCACATCTCCCACCCTGTGGTTTTTAGAACGTTTAGTATCGGGGCACTGGGCCAGGGCTCTGCTTTGATACACATGGGCAGAAGCAGTACCAGCTTTCTAAGCCTAGCTTTCTCCTTAGACTTCTATCAAAAAGAAGGAAAGGTTTCCAGGTAGAGGTGGAATTTCACACCTCAGGGGTAGGGGGAGCCTGTGGAGTGGTGCAATATGTGCCCTGTGCAACCATACCTGGCAGCCCAGTTGCCTAATTACATTTAACCCAGTTGATGGAGGGAAGTGGTTCCAGAGACACTTGTATCTAGGACCGTCTGTGCAATTACAATTAGGATTGTTTCCCTCTCTGTTTGGAACTAACTTTCTGCTTTTCTTTCCTTCCTTTGTGGGGGCAGTCACCGCCTCAGACAGCAGAGCCTGGATGGATCAGATGATGGAGGAGGTAAGATGTCCTCAAGAAAGTCATAGACTGCCAGAGAGGCCTTGCATAATAGCCTCTGCCTGGAACACTCAGCCCCTTCTTTATCCACTCACTCTGTTTATCCTTTAAATCTCAGCAGAAATATCACTTCCTCTGAAATATCTTCCCTTCCTACTCCTCTTCTGACTCAGGTGTTCCTTCTCTGGGCTCCTACAACCTCTTGGGAAAACCTCCTTTTGAATATTCCTTTGGTGTTCAGTATTTACCAGGCACTATTCAACCAGCTTATGTATGTTAAATCACCAAAGCCATTTTCTTTTGACCCACCTACTTACCATTCCTCCATGTTATTCTTTTGTGTCAGCCTGTTTCCATCTGCCTGAAGAACTTTGTTTAATATGTTCTACAGAGCAGTATGTTCTGGCAGCAAATTCAGCCTAATTTGTCAGAAAATGTCTTGACTTTTCACCAGATATTTTTTTCCCTTTTGGCATTTTAGTTATTCCATTGTCCTCTGGCTTATGTTGTTTATGATGGGAAGTCGGTAGTCATTCTTGTCTGGCTGCTTTTAAGATTCATTTTCTTTTATCAGAATTTTTAGCAGTTTGGTTACTATATTCCTTGGTGTGGTTCATCTTTATTTATCCTATTTGAAGTTCTTGAGTCTGTTGATTTTTAGTTTTCATCAAATGTGGAGCATTTTAGTCATTTTTCTTTAAATGTTATTTCCTCCTCTTGCTCCTTCTGGGACTCCAATTAAAGGTATATGGGTTATATCGGTGGAAATTTCCACCCATGTCCCTTGAGGCTGTTTCCTTTTGTTTTCCTCCCATCTGCTTTTAATACAGTGTCTATTGCGTTGTCTTTTCTAATACAATGTCCAGTCTACAGGCAAGCCTACCCCGTGAATTTGTTATTTCAGATATTGTTTTTCTTTTTTTTTTTTTTAAAGATTTATTTATTTTGTTTTTACAAGAACTGGGGTACAGATACTGTGGTTTTTTTTTTTTTTTTTTTTTTTTTTAAAGATTCATTTATTTATTTATACAAGCACTGGGTACAGTCAGTCAGAAGCGCGGGAGGGTGAGAGCATTCACCAGAGCCAGAGCGGGGAGCAGAGCAGGCAGAAGGACCGAGGTACACTGCTGAGGGGAGCAGCGGGCGGCAGGAGAGGTCTGCGCGCCATGTGGGACCCTCCTCCTGTGGCCGGGGAGCAGCCGGGGATCGAACCGGCGCTGCAGAGGCTGCGGGCAGCTTCACAACCCAGCGCTCAACCGCTGCGCCACCGGGGAGGCCCAGAGATACTGTGTTTTTCAAGTGAAGAAACTGCCATTTAGTCTCCTTATCCTGTTCATGTTTTTCTTTATCCTTGGTAGTAGTCTTTGTAGTAGCTGTTTTAAAGTGCTTTTCCACTAATTCTAGCACCTCTACATTTTCTGAGTCATTTTTCTTCTGGTTGCAAGTCATATTTTTGTGTTTTTTCACATAATTAGTAGTTTTCTAACTAAATGCTTGTCCATTGTGAATGTTACTCTGTTGAATGCCTTTTTTTAAAGACTGATCTATTTGTTTTGCTAGGTAGTTCATGTATTTGTTGGTCAACTTGATCATTTTGAGGCTTTTTTAAAGTTTTTGTTAGGACAAGTCTAGAGTTAACCCTAAACACCAAAGCCCTCAGGTGTCTCTGCTGAGTCAGCTGTTCAGTGAGGTCACCTCACTCTTCTTGGGTGGAGTTGTGCCTCTTCCATTCTGTATATGGTCTGGGAGTTGTTCAGCTCACACCTTCCTGGTAGCTTCTTTGCCCAGCCTTGTGGAATTTAACCCTCTTCATGTACAGCTCAGTAGTCACTCAATCAAGATTTCTGGAGCTCTTCTGTGACATCACTTGCCTCTCTCATACTCTGCTTCTCACCACCTTAGCCCTCTAAAATTTTTTTTTTAAAGATATATGTATTCATGCATGCAAGAACCAGGGCACAGGCCAGATGTGTGGGAGGGTGAGAGGATTCACCAGAGACAGAGTGGGGAACAGAACAGGCAGACTGACTGAAATACACTGCTGAGGGGAGCAGCGAGCGAGACAGAAGAGGTCTGCCGCACCATGTGGGCATCTCCGTGGCCTGCCGGGATCAAACCTGCACTGCAGAGGCTGCGGAAGCTTTATAGCGCTGCTCTCAACTGCCTGCGCCACCAGGGAGGCCCAGCCCTCTAAAATTTGATCACAGTCTTCTCATCTCAGCAAAACCTCTGTGCTTTATTTGAAATTCCTGCTCTTTGTGCCAGCGCCCAGGAGGTACCTCCAGGCGGAAGCCAGGGTGCCCACAGGGCTTGCTTCCTTCTTTTTCCCCTTCCCCTAGGAGTCACAGTTCTATGCTACCAGTTAGTTGTCCCCTGTGTAAAAACAGCTGTATGTGTGGTCTCCAGTTTCCTTTTTACAGTGGGAAGGCAAGCCCAGCTCCACTTACTCTCTCAAGGCTAGAAGTGGAGTCCCAAAGCTTTCTGCTAACTGACCTCTGCATGTGGCTATCAGGATCATCAGAAACAAAGTGAAGGAGAGAACTAGATCTCTAAAAGTTGGATGATTCCCTGTATTTTAGCTATTTCACAAGATTGGGATGAGGGTCACATAGGACATTTGTTTTATAATCTGGGGGATGGTGGTAAAAATGCAGGCACCCAGGCCACTCACAGATCAAGCTGGTGTTGAAGCCCCAGGATCTGATGCATTAGTTTAAATACATGGCCTGGATGAATATTTTGCAAACTTAAATTTAACAGCCTGCTGTAGCCCCTCCGAAAGGCAGAATTGAGGGCTGGCGAGTACAGCAACTGTGAAAAAGTACCTCTGCCTCACTTTAGTCCAAAGAGTCTTTAAGGTACTAAGGTAGGGCCTCCCCGGTGGCGCAAGGGGTTAAGCACTGCACTATGAAGCAATCTGCAGCCTCTGCAGCACAAGTTCAATCCCCGGCTGGCCAGGGAAAACCCACATGGTGCAGCAGACCTCGCCTGTCTCGTCCGCTGCTCCCCTCAGCAGTGTATTTCAGTCAGTCTCTCTGTTCTGTTCCCCACTCTGTCTCTGGTGAGTCTGCTCACTCCCCTGCATCTCTGGCCTGTACCCCAGCTCTTGTATGCATAAGTAAATAAATCTTTGAAAAAAAAGGTACTAAGGTAGTGATTGGCGGTGAGAAGTCCAGCCTGTGTTATGAAGTTAATAAGCTCTTAAGAGCATACTCTCATCATTCTTCAACATTTTTCTTGGCTTTTCCCAATATCTCTTATTGGCAGGCTCATTTATTTTTCTTAGATAGTCTTCCTTAGCACTACTCACTATACTTGCTTTAGCTGCCAAACTTCTCCACCCACTAATAATTCCCAGTGACCCTGTTAAATGAGGGATCCTGCATTTCTTTTCCCAGAGTCTGCTTTCCCAGACATGCAACCAGGCTGTCTTCCCATTGCTAAACTGGCAACTCTGGTGGCTCAGTGCCCGGTGGCTAGCCACACTTTTGATCTGCCTGTCCTCATAAATTGTCTGCTGCTTCAGCCATTGGTTAAATGGGACAGAGGGTGACTCTCCGCTAAGATAGGCCCAAGGGCTCAGGAGGCAGGAACCATGCAGACCCTAACTATACTATAGGGTGTGTAAGGAGCAGTGCGCTTGTATATTATGGTGCTGTAACTCTGAGGTGCTTGTTTAATTTGTGGCCTGTAGAGGGTTTACTTGGCAGCTGTTCTTCTCCAGGCCTCTCTCCATCCTACTGTGGACCTCTTTCCAACTCTTTCTCAGGACTTCTGAAATCCTTCCTCAGTGTGTGAAAATAACGTTACAAGGAGTAGCTGTTAAATGTTAACAACACAATCTTCTGAATACCCAAGTTTACACACATCATAAATGCATATTGTTAGAAGGTTGTGCTGGCAGCCTCTGTGATATCATCATGTCAGAGTCAAATTGTTGCAACTCTGAGGAGCTCTGCAGGCAGTTCTTGTCCAAACCTGTCACTTGACACATCAAGAAATTGTGGCTTTGAGATTATCATACAAAGTCCCAGGACTCTGGGAGGAAATCTAGTCTTCTGATTCCCAAGAAGATTCCAATTTCAAGCCACAGTGTACACCTGCATCACTGCTCACTGGCAAACATTTGCCATGTTCCAGCTCCTAAGCCTGGTGCTGTGCATTGTTTTCTCATTTAATTCTCAAAACAATCTATGGGAAATTTCTTAAAGTCAACCTCATTGTGTCTGATTTGACAGAGGTACTTACCCTCTGAAACTACCACTGTAATCAATATACAGAACATTTTCATCACCCCAAAAGTTTCCCATGCCCCTTTTTCATCCATCCTTCCTCTGCTCTTGTCCTCAGGCAACTACTGAGCTGTTTTTTTCTCACTACACAGTGGGTTGTATTTTCTAGAATTTTTCATAAATCGAATCATATGTGTATGTATGCTTTTGAGTCTGGCTGGTTTCACTCATAATGATTTTGAGGTCCATGCAGGTTGTTATATATCTCATCAGCCTCTTCACTCTTATAGATGTATAGTATTCCATTGTATGGCATACCACATTTTGGTTATCATATACTAATAGGCATTTGGATGGTTCATTATCCCCATTTCAAAGATGAGCAGACTAAGGCACTGAAAGGTAACCTTGCCCAAGGTCATACAACTAGTAAATGGTGGCACCAGCATTTAGAAGGTAGATGTAGTTACCTCTTACCTCCATACCAACAACCCTGCATAGCCCAACCAGTATTTGAGTACTGACCCCAGAGCCCTTGCTCTTGGCCAGGGGGCAGCAACAAATGTGTGACCCTCACCTGTGTCGGCATTTCCTTCCACAGGTAGGTTGTATTAATGTGAGTTCCCAGGTTTGTAATACAGAGTGCCTAGCATGATGAATAGGATGCTTACTATAATCTCATAAAAGGAGGAGAGAAGAACGATACCTATTTTCACAGAATGCCTCTTGATTTTTTTCCCCTTCATAAACTTTGAATGTGAAATTTGTGAT